TATCTATCTATCTATCTATCTATCTATCTATCTATCTATCTATCTATGTGTGTCTATTATCTACTGATCAATCATCTATCATCTCTTTTTTTCTTTTGCTTTCTTGATCTTTCTCTGTCTACCTACCTACCAATCTACTGATCAGTCAACTATTATCTCTTTCTTTTCTTTCTTTCTTTTCTTTCCTTCCTTTCTCGCTTTTTCTATCAATCTATCAGCTATCTATATTATACTATTTTCCCAATTTGTACTTATTTCTTTACTAGCTCTAGCCCCGTACTTTGCTACGAAACTATGTGGTCGGGTTTAGTTCTTGGGAAGGAAAATAAGGGGAAAAAATTTCTGCCTCTGCCTACCAGCATCCATGGATATTCATCTGGCTAGCGTCCTGTCAGTGTGTGGAGAGTTGAGGGCTGTTTGGAAACTGAAAGAGTATTTGCTGTGCGAGCAAGGAGACAGCATGGAGCCTGGGCGTGGCTTAGCTCAACTGTTCTGTACTAAAGCTGCTTGGTGCTCTTAAACTGAAACTCCTCTGCTTGTGTTTTGCATTTGGAAGAGATTTCTTTTCAGGTGGGAAGAGGGAGTAGAACTCCTTAGCATCAGAGCATGTTAATAATAATAATAATAATATAGGAAATACTAATGATCTGATGGTCCTTTGGAAAAATCCTTTCTTAGTGAGCACCTAGAAGCCAAGAGGAACCTACGTGCCAAATTTCAAGTTTGTAGACTTTACGGTTCTGGAGATTTTGTGATGATGCGTGAGTGGTATTTCGCTTTATATGTGTGTGGTTTGTGTGTGTGTGTGTATGGTGTTCAGCTTTGTTCGGGTATTTTCCCACGTCTTTACAGTTGTGCTTTTAAAGTTGTAGTGACGTTTTAGAAGAATCTCATCTGCCATCATCAGGCTCATGACTCTCATCTCTCAGGTGAGATTCTGCCGAAACGTCGTTACAACTTTAAAAGCACAACTATAAAGACGTGGGAAAATACCCGGACAAAGCTGAAACACCATACATATAAATTGGGTTCTTCTATATTCACCTCTTTGTCTTTAAACAATACTATTCTTTCTCTAGGATTTTCTATCACTTGCTCCAAAAATAGATGTAAACGTCAACATTTCTTCATACAATATACTTGTAGACCCCTATGAAGTCATGAATGTTTTAATATTTTAAATATCGCTCAGTGTTCCACCATGTTTTCACGATGGTTTGGGGAACGCAGGATGGAAAGTTTCCTGGCTGAGTTCAAATCCCCCGCGTGCCCGGCTGCTTGCGGGCAGGAAACGCTGCGATCCATGATAAGGCCCGGCTTGACCCCCCGGCAGGCGAGGAAACGCCCGGTGAAATTCAGCGCAGGAGATTGGGTTGGCTTTGGAGACCCACGATTAGGCAGGCGCCCCCTCTGCTCCGCAGGGCTCAATAATTTAGTTTTCCCCCCCTCCTGGGTGGAGAAATCCGTGCGCTTTGGACCCCTTTGGGAAGAGCTGCCTTCAGACACGCTCTGGACACCGGTGTCGCCAAATAAGGGAAGATGGAGACGCAAATTCTGGTGTGGCGTTTCCTCCCCCCTCCCCCCCTCAGGTGGAGGGTAGATGAGGGTCCGTTCTCCCTGGAAACAGATTTAACAGATTAACAGAGTTGGCAAGGGACCTTGTAGGTCATCCAGTCCAACCCCCCACCGAGGAGCAGGAGACCCTACACCATTCCTGACAGAGGGCAGTCCAGTCTCTTCTTGAAAGCTTCCAGGGATGAAGCTGTCACGACTTCTGTTCCTGGGCTGGATTGTTCTCCCTGTCAGGAAATTCCACCTTATTTCCAGGTTGAATCTCTCCTTGATCGGTTTCCATCCATTGTTCCTTGTCTGGCCTTCAGGTGCCTTGGAGAATAGCTTGACCCCCTTCCTCCTCTCTGTGGGAGCCCCTCAAATATTGGAAGGCTGCTCTCCTGTCTCCCCTGGTCCTTCTCTTCCCTAGACTAGCCTGGCCCAGTTCCTGCAACCGTCCGTCGTATGTTTGAGACTCCAGTCCCCTCATCCTCCTGGTTGCTCTTCTCTGCACTCTTTCCGGAGTCTCAACCTCTTTTTTATAATGTGGGGACCAAAACTGGATGCCGTATTCCAAGGGTGGCCTCACTCAGGCTTTATAGAGTGGGATTAGTACCTTCGCACGAATGCCAGAAGTGTTGTTTTGCACATGGCCTGCTTGGACTGTGGCTCGCGTGGTCTCCAGGTGTGCCCGTATCACCCTCCGGTGGCGGTTGGTCTGGGGTCCATAAACTGCCAGGGATTGCACTTCAGCAAAGCAACAGGGTTGCTGGGTAGGTTTAAAAAGTGCATTTGGAAAAAAAAATTATCAAGTGGGGTTGGAAAGATTTTTGCCGCTTCTGCTGCAAAGGAGTTGGTGGTTGAGCATCTCTTGATTCATGCTGGGTGATGAAACACTGGCCAGAAAAATGCTGCTTTTGAGAATTGCATGTTCCACTTTTTAAAAATAAATAAATAAATAAATTTCTCACCCAGTGTTGCGCAACCTTGGCAAGTTTAAGACGCGTGGAGTTCAAGATGCAGAATTCAAGTATAAGATGCAGAATTCTGGGAGTTAAAGCACTCTTAAACCAGGCTGTCTAGGTATTCTGGGAGTTGAAGCCCATCCCTCTTAAAGCAGGCCGGCTGGGGAGGAAAATAAGGGGGGGGAAATGTGCCTCTGTCTACCAGCATCCGTCGGTATTCATCTGGCTAGCGTCCTGTCAGTGCGTGAGAGAGTTGAAGGCTGTTTGGAAACTGAAACAGTATTTGTTGTGCGAGCAAGGAGACAGCAAGGAGCCTGGGCGTGGCTTAGCTCAACTGTTCTGTACCAAAGCTGTTTGGTGCTCT